CTTATGTAATGCCTGATTTACATCAGGTAATTGCTTTTCAAGGGCTGAATTGCTATGTTCTTTTTGCATATTTGACAGTACAATCTGTCTTTGACTTTTATCTTGGATAGAATAAAAAAAAGAGTCATACGTTTTCCTCTTATACATATGCTGTTGTTTTATGATTATCATTGAAAGTCACTGTGTCTGATGTAGTCTAAATGTGCTAATTTTTTTTTTCTTTTTTCTCTAAGGATTGTTTCTAGATCCCTGAAGTGCAGTAATTTCTCTAGGCTATAGCTTGATATTGGTCCACTGTACCATCTTTTCCCTAGAATATACTGTGCCCTTCCAAATTCAGATTTCTTTATTTTAAGACATTTTTTCTATTCTATCTTTGAGTACTATTTATCTAATTTATTTATTTTGTTCTTTTTGGGAGCACCAACTGTAATTTATTAGGTTATAATTTGATTTGTTCCTGTTGTCTGGGAATTAGGGCTAAGACACCAAGCTGAGAATAAAAGATGCCGCACACCCCACGTTCTAAGTTCTAATAACCACCAGCAGTTGGTACAAGGCATACCCCTATGGAGCTCTTTGAGAGAACTGCTTAGCAGTACCAGCTTTACTACCAGTACCAAGTCAATTTAAGAGCATGACTATGGAGAGATGGCATTACCTTTAAGAGCGTCTAGTGTTCAGAAAGAAAAGCTACTTCTACCCCTTTCCTTCTTGTGGATTAGGGCAGAGAGATCCTTTGCCTGCCCAGAGTCTTTAAAACACTTTAGTTGGATGTAGCAGCACTTCTGAACATTCAGGACAGTGCATATGTGTAATAAGATATTAATTGCAATCCAAGTTCTATAGTTCTCATTTAGATATAGCCCACTATATACATGGCACATACATAAAACAGCTTGATTTTATTCCTTTACCTTATTCCAGTGTTTTAAAATTACACTCTAGGAGCCTACATGATTGGTACAGGACTAAGTCAGAGAATTACATTAAGTACTTTTCACATGTTTTGCATGTAATAAGTGCTTAATAAATGGTGGCTGTTGTTATTACTTTTAAATACCAAAATAATGCAATAACGATGTTTCCTATTTATTTTAAAAAGTGCCTAAAAATCAAAGGTTGCCATAGTCTGGGGGCTGAGGAAGAGCAAGACTACATAGGGACTGGGGGAGTTTTTGAGGCTGTTGTTTCTTGCTTTGATTTGGGGATCCTCACTTGAGAGGGTTGTGAAGGCTGTAATGAAGATGGAAGCTTGCAAACAGACTTAGTAATGCAATCAGACTCTTCAATGAAGAAATGACATTTACTGACAAGTTCTCAATTCCACTTATCAGAAATATTGGCAAACCATCCTTCCTAATCTCCCAAGAATGTAAAATTAAAACAGATGTTGTTCCAATTAAGTCATACTGTGAATCCCACTATAAGCACCAATAAAGTTTAAATATTTTTAATGTATAAAATAACATTACACTTTAGGATATTTGTTATTATTGTCTACCCAGTATTTAAACTTCTTTCATAACTGAGGGAAGACCCCATTGTGTGAGACTTGGTGGGAACTTGCTTCCCCCCGACCCGCTAAGGCATCTAAGAGGAAGCAAACAGTTCAGTTCCACACACCTGCAGCCAGGGCACCAGCTCGTGCCCCAGGCTCAGACAGCTGGCTCTTTTCCCAGGACTTTGAATCTGGATTGAGTGATGCAAGTAAAAGGGAATGACTAGAATCATTTGTAGTGGCATCAACCATCAGCATGGTGTCCAATGATGATACCAAGCAGAGCTGACTTTTTTATTATTAAAAAAATTAGAGTTAATTTCTATTCCTTGCAATCAAGATCCTGACTAGTCCATACACAGTTAGGATCTTCAACATTTTTGTTTGTAATGTATAGCTATCAGATTAAGTAAGCAGTACCTTTTAAAATTAAGATCAAAACACAATTAACAATAAGGCTGTAAAATATCTCATATGCCTTGTTCATTTTTCTCATGCATTCTTCTTTTCTTGGCATCCCAAAAAAAGAGAATAAACGTATTTTTGTTCTTATAACTAAGGGATGTGTCGTACAAAAACAAAATAGCACAAATTCTTCTTCTGAACAATTTTAATTAGATGGTGTATATGTTCCCAAATTAGGTTTTCCTAGATTTGTTTTATTATTATTTTTTGGCTTAGCACGTGAGTTGATTGATGCCAGAATGTGGATAGAAATGTTGGTTGAAAGGGTTATATTGATATACTCATCATAGTGCTAAGGCTCATTCTGTCAAATCCCTTTACATATCACTTTTCCCCAAACATAACTCAGTGAAATCTTCTGCTATTTTCTGGGGTTTTTTTTCGAGGGGAAAAAATTCTAACCAGCTTCTCATATTCTCACTCTCAAGAGTTCTGCCCCATTATCTTGGGGATATTAAATGCCAAGCTCTTGTTTGAAAATACAGGCTACCTCAATAAGGCAACTGAACTGCAGAGCAATCAATTCTTTGCTTTCAATGAGATTTAGACACTTTTGCTTCAATAAAAGTTTATTAAGCCATATCCCTTTCTAAAGTATTTTCTGGTACTATTTTTTTTTTAATGATTGCTATTCTCATTTTACAAAACCTTCTTGAGTCCTGTTACCTTGGCAACAGGTAACATATAACATACTTCATAAGACCAAAAACTAAAGACAGCAGAGTGGAAGCCAGCCCTTCTTATCATTTACAAGCTCACAGATGGAGGATTTGTGGCATCATGATAAAATAGTGTGTACCAAGAGTTTCAAGAAGAGTTAAAATTATTGCTTCATTAGCATTTTTTAGAACTGTCCAATGATTTTATTTAGCAATACATATAGAGCGCTTATATGTGTCAGGCAGTGCTATAAATCTGTAAAATTAAAATCTAAATTTTCCTAGACTTCTAAGTGATGGACTCTTATTCTCCTCAGTTTACATGTGAGGAAACCAATGCATAGAAAGTTCACTTGCTCAAGGTCACATAACTAGTAAATGTCAGAGGCTAGTTTCACCTCCTGGTAGTTTGGGCCTTTTGTCTGTTATTGAATTACTTAGTGTTTGCCTATGACTAAAGCTTATTTGACATTGAACTTAAAATTTAAATCATATTTAATGTTTTGTGGCAAAATGTCAAAAATACTGCACATACAAACACATCACTAAGTGTATATCATCGCACCTTAGGCAAGGCAAACATCCTGCCTACATTATTCAGTCCCAGTTGGTTGGTCTTCTTGCTCCACTACATGATAAAGAAAGCCAAATAGAAGAAGGAACATGGTTAACATTTCTTGAAAGATGTTCTTGAGAGCCTTCATAAACCTTGTCTCATCCAGTAATTTCAACAGGATAGGTATTTTTATCTCTGCTTAATGATTAGGAACTGAGACCCAGAAAGGTTAAGCAACATAAAACCATCTGCCATACATGGCCATGGTTTTTACCAAACTTGGTAGCACTGAAAACCCAAAAGCCCAAACAGAAGTGGGAACTCTCACCTGATTATAAAATTATCTGCCTCTAGCCCTGGTCAGTTTTGCTTGGCCGTTAGAGCATCAGCCCATGGACCAAAGAGTAGCCGGTTTGATTCTGGTCAAGGGCACATACCGCAGTTGCAATTTGTTCCCCGGCCCTGGTCAGGGTCATGTGGGAGGCAACCAGTAGATGTGCCTCTCTCACATCAATGTTTCTCTCTATATCTATCTATCTATCTATCTATCTATCTATCTATCTATCTATCTATCTATTATCTCTCCATCCCTCCCTCCCACTCTACCTGAAGATGAAGATAAATGGAAAAAAAAAAAAAAGAATCCTCGGGTGAGGATTTAAAAAAAAAAAATTAGCTTCCTCTGAGTCAAAAATATCATTTCCTCTCCTCTATGATTCAGATGCTATATTAATTATATCTTCAGTCAGTTGCCATTGTGAGAGAGGATGTTTTCCTGGACCCTCTTAGAGTCCCTGGCTGAGTCTGAAAATTAAACTGATGAAGACAGATTAACAGGAGAAAAGCATACAAATTTATTTAATTGTTCTATGTGACACAGGAACATTCATAAGGAAACAAAGACCAGAAGAAACAGTTATACCTAAGTATTTTATGCTGGACTTAATGAGGAGTAGGCAGTGGTGGAGGAATATGACAAGTTAAGGGGGATAAGGTAAGTGTGGTGAACTGGGGGAACAGCAATGCCTGTTGTTCTTCTTGGTGTCCCCTTGTCTTTAGAGATAAGGATGCTCCTTTCCTCCAGAAAGTCCTCATGACTGTTTCATGAAAAGGGTTTGGGGTGGGGAAGATCACTCTGACCTTCCGCTGTTTTCTCAAACTCCTTCAGCCTAAATATCAATATGCAGGGTGCCATGTTTTGAGGCAGCATGCCCTAAACCCACCACCACCTCTCTGTGGACCAGGCAATAGATTCACTCTGGAGTCTATTTTATTCCAAAAGTTGTATTGTTTTTTGTCTGTTTCAAATTATCTTTATTGTTAATATTATTAATATTACTCCCTCACAATAGATTCCCCAAAATTGAATTTTGAATTTAAGGAAATAAACTTTATATGGTCCTTAAAATATATTTTAATATTAATTTTCCAAAACAGCTCTACCAAAAGACATTGCCACCACAAATGTATCAATGTAATATATAATCTCAAGAATTGTATTGCATTTTTACAGAATTGGACATTTGAAAACCTTAAAAATATTCCACTGATGCAGCGGGGTGGGGGGGTTCATCTTATCATCACTCATTTTTTTCATTAATATCCATTCTGACCAACCTTAAACTAAAAAAGGAGATACTATAATTTTAGAAAAACGTATGAAATACAGTGTTTCCTTAATAAAGTAGTACTTTCTAGCAAACACATTCTCCCAAACTCCTACTAAAATATCAACCAACACAGAGGAAAGGTGAAAACTCACACTTGACTGCAAGTTTTCTAGAAGCACAATGTGTTGCCAAGCCTGTATTCCTAACCCTTAAGCCCTGCCTCCAGCTTTGCCTTTATTAGTCAAATGAACCTTAAGCAAATTACCAGCCTCTCTCTGCCTCAACTGTCACATCTGTAGGATGGGAAAGACGGTAGGAACTATTTCAGGGCTTGTTGTAAGAACTGGGTTTATCTGTGCAGAGCTCTTAGGAGGGTGCCCGGCAGAGGAAGTTCTAAGCGTACATGAGCTAGCATTAGCTTCCATCATCATCGCTGTTGTCAATCCAGTGTTTCTGACAGCAAGCACTGTGTGTCCCTGCAATACACAGAATTAGGGTTGTCACTCAAAGTTATTGTAGCAGATACTCAGAGGTGTCATTAAGTGGCATGAGTCACTTGAAGGAGAAAATTATGCCTTCCTTTTTCAATTTTCACTGAATCCTTCTGATTAAAACAAGATTAAAGTTTCAATGTTGGTGTCAATAATGTTTAACTCTCTTCAACAATTGATAACCTCCTTCATTACCTAAGGGAGTACGTTTCAGATTGACAACAAACAGTATCCAGCTAGAATGTAATAACAAATTAATTTTTAAGCATATTTATTTTCGTAAGTACCTTCTATTTCTATTGTTTTAATAATGTTTTCATTTACATAATATAAAGCTTTTATAAAATAACTTTTAAAATGATGTATCTATTTAAAGAAAATGTTAAGTAAATAATAGATGATAAGCAGATGTGTAAAAAGCAAGAAGTGTACATAAAAGATTTAGTTTGGAAAAGTTTGTAATCCTTATACTCAAAAGCAGAGATTGGCAATTTTTTTCTGTAAAGAGCCAGGTAGTTAAACTTTCAGGCTTTGCAGAACATAGTCTCTGTTGCAATGACTCAACTCTGCTATAGACAATATATAAATAAAGGAACATGGCTGTGTTTCAATAAAACTTTAATCTATAAAAATGTGTAACAGCTGAGTAAGGGCCATAGACTCAAAACTATGCAAGATTATTAGAATCTTGAAATAAATGTTTGATTATAGTCAAGTATTATTTTCAAGATTTCACTGCTGGAAAAGTAAAATCATTCATTTGAGGTTGGAGATTATTTTTAAATAGTAACTCCATATTAATTTCTTAAAATACTGTGGCAAAGATTTCAGATTTAAGACACAGCTTCACAATGTTATGAGGAAACAGGATGGATAAACAGCACCTAAACGTCTTTTTGTAATTCATATAAAAACTACAGGCATAATAAATATGTGAGGTGACAGCTGTGATAATTAACTAGACGGGGGGATCCTTTCATCAAATCATCACATACATCACGATGCACACTTTAAATATCTTACAATTTTATTTTTCAATTGTACCTCAATAAAACTGGGGGGTGGGACACAGTGTAATTACTGGCTTCCTAAAAGTGTATACTAAAGTACCTAGCTAAATCATTTCTGTTGTAATATGAATGTGGATATATATGTGTATTTTTTTAAGAAGACCTAATGATAGCTTTGCCTTTAATAATAAAAGATAACCTAAATGTGGTCTCATAAACTTTTAATTTTGTGACAAGTTCATCTTTATATAAATGATGTAATTAAATGTACTTATAGAATTTTAAAATGAACTGTTCCAAATAAAAAGATAAAACAAGAAATATGCATAGAGCACTTACCAGCCGCCAGGCACTATTGTAGCCATTTACATGTCTTAACTCATGTATTCTTCCTAAAAATCCCTTTGAGGTGGGTAGTACTATATTCCCAATTACATATAAAGAGAATGAGGCATATAAAATACCTCATAAGAAGCAGAGCTAGCATTTGAACATAACCAATAGACTCAGAGCCCATGTTCTTCCCCTGCTGCCCCTGCCACTCAATTTAGGACACAGTGGTTGGTTGTGTTTTCCTGAAAACTTCAGCTCAGCTTAAAATCTGCAAAATATGACAGGAATTTGCTTGCTGGCGCATCCGTGAGAAACTCATAAACTTGAACAAGAAGGAAGATTCCTTGAGCAGGAATGAGAGTAAATGAGAGCAATCTCAGGTAAGAGTTTATGAAATGTGCACTTGAAGTAACCAGTTTCATGGTAAGTTCTGAAATCCATAGCTGCAGACAGCGAGGGCCAAGGAGACTCTGGCACGCTGTTCTCAGTGGCTATGCTATACAAAGGCAGAAGCAGGCAGAGGCTTCATTTTAAGTGCTTGTTAGGCCAGACATCGTATTACAATTAAATTACAATTAAATTGAATGTTGATTTAAAAATTTAAAAATACTTCCCTTCCAAGTTCAGATGCTTATTATTTGCATTGGGTAAAAAAATGATCTTAATGTTATATATCTACATGAGTGGTAGTTCAGCTTCATAAATTTTCTTATTTTTACAGTTAAGTTTCTGTAGAATCAATTTAAGAATGTGTGGAATTTATTTCTGGTGCCTCTTATACATGTCCCATTTGAGGATAAGCATGAAAGGATGGTAATACCTAGTAGTGATTATGAAAATTGAAAAAAATTATAGCCTAAAACAGTGAATTTATAGCCTAAATTAGCATGAAGAAAGGCATGCCTTACAGTATACATCCCCACTCCAAATAAGGCAAATAATAATGGGATGATGACAATGGAATGCAAAAGCATCTTCCAAGGCTGTTATTACAAATTATTCCAAAAATAAAAGATATATTTTTATTTAGAAATTAAAACTTCAGTGTCTTTTGAAATTAGGATATCATTAAGCAACAAATTTGGGTTTAACAGAGTTTTTTTGTTGGTTTCTTTCAGTTTAATTTCAGCAATCATGTGAATAGTAAAAAAAAAAAAGAAGAAGAAGAAGAAGAAGAAGAAAAAGAAAAGAAAAGAAAAAAACAGAAAATTGAGGGTTAGTAATCCATCACCCACTGATTACTATCCAATTGTGCCTAAAGCAGCTATCAGAGTAGCATCAGGACATACCCTGCTAGCACCAGAAATAACATCAACAGTCTTGGTCCCCTGCACCTTTCACTCTCTGCTTTCTGACTCCCTTGTTTGATTATTATTCTCCACTCCATCTCCAGTTTTCTCTCTTTCTTTTCTTCTCCCCATTCTCAGAACCTCTATCTTTCTACAGGAATGAATGTAGTTGTCATATCTGGGATATTTATAACAGAGCAAAAAGAAGAGAAATCGGGAATTTCTACCCCATTATTAGATCTTTCTCCTCCTTCTCACCTAACACAAAGTTGATTCTCTCGCTGGAGTTGTTCTGTGTTATTCTCTTAACAAACAGAACTTTAGAAAACAAAGAAAAATTACTAATAAGTAATTTTATCTATAGTAGGGATAAAAATAGCCTTAAAATATTTTATAACCACCTTTTTCTAAAAATGATTTAAGTTTTTCAGAAATGTATTCAAATTAACATTATTAAACTAAAAATAATGGTAGCATTTTAGGACAAAGGATAAATACAGGGGTGGGCAAAAATAGGTTTACAGTTGTTGGTATAGAAAATAGTACAATAATTAATAAATAAATAATACAAGAATAAACTGTTTTATGTGCTTACAACTATAAACATACATTTGCCCATCCCAGCATAAGTGGAAAAAGAAAAGAAACAAAGATAAAACTGAAGTGAGTCAACATGGAAACACCTTTAATGAGGTCCCATTTTGCTATAGATGGGCCGCAAATTCAGAATTCTGTAATTCCAATAGGAAAAATTACAAATTGTTACATTATTTATGGTGGCGTAACAAAAATTATATTTTCTTCTCAGAAGTCCAAGTATTTCTAGAGACCTTGGATAGAAGACAATGTCCTCAACACTGTTACAGAAAGCACAGTAGAAAGTTTCACAATACACATCTCATACCATGCTGCAACTCATAGCAAGCTATTCTACAAAGAATTTCGGAAGATGTTGAACAAAATGCTATGGCTATTTGAGTGGAGAAACATACCAAAAAACACAGAAATTATGTAGGAGCTACTGATTAGAAACATTCTAATTATCTTTATAAACTTTTCTTACAAGAAGAAATTGGCTTCACTAGAGCACCTATGTGTTAGCCATGCCTCTGATAGAAAAGATAGATCCTACATCCATGATCCTCGGCCAATCACCCTTGTCCCTGCAGGTCTCCACTGCCTATCTTCTACCCAGAGGACATCTTGGGGGAAATTGTATTTTCACTATTTATTGGGCTTAGGCCTCACATTCCTACGTGCTATCCTATCCAGTGAAGCAGGTTGGCCACCTATAAGCCACTCACCAAAATAAAAAAATAAAAAATTTAAATACCAAAGCATACTTGCTTTCCAAATTATTTTCTCCTAATATATCATTATGTTATTCATTAACAGATGAGAGTACAGAATGCCACCAATATTTAATTTGTATTATTCATTACACCTTAAATTAGCCTTTATAAATATCAGCCACTACATAACAGCACTAAAAATGAATCACTGCTAAAAACAAGAACTGAACCAGTTAGACACAGTTTGCTTTGCTAAAAAACAAATTCTAACTAAGAAGAGAATTCTAAGGCTAGAGCCAGAATGAGGTTGAGGAGACAGCCTCATAATAACCTCCTGGAATTCTGCTATTTGTATAACAATGACAAAAATTCCCTTTCAATATGACACATCTTAATGAAGGAGATTGTACATTAATACAATTTTATTTGGCCATTTAAATATCACGAAGATAAATAATTCCCTGTCCTTCTCACCCCCCACCTACACACACACACACACACACACACACACACACACACACTGCAAAGTGTCCTTTAGGGATGATGATAGAGTGTGAGAGAATTCTCCACATCAAGATCACTCTCTCAAAATTTACAGCAAAGCCAAGTCTTGGATAAGAGAGGTTAACAGGTACTAAAGAAGTGGGTTCAAAATTAGTGAAAGAGTTTCATAACACGTGTAAATCAAATCAATATGCTGTCAACCTTAAATCCATACAGGGCTGTATGTCAGTTTTATCTCCATAAAACTGAGGGGGAAATTAGTGAAAGAAAGAATGTGAAAAAGCAAGCTAAAAGTCAATATATGATGAGATGATAAGAAGCCGAATCTGTCAAGTGTCCTAGTTCAGGCACTAAAATAAGCACATTAAATGTATTTCATCAACTTTATCTCAAAGGCATTCTACCTTTCAATCTATAGCACACTCGGACAGGCCAGAATGCATATGGAGTAAATGAAAGAACCCAAACAGTTTTGCAATTCTGCTTATAACTTCAGTCTCTGGGATTTTCTTTCAGGAAACTGTCTCTAGAGAAGTAAGGTTTTTCTCAGCTGCTTT